TACCCTACCCTACTCTATACTTTATTCTATTCTCCTACCCTACCCTAGTCTATATTTTATTCTAGTCTCCTACCCTACTCTATTCTATTCTATTCTCCTGCCTTACTCTACTCTATTCTATTCTCCTACCCTACCATACCCTACTCTATTCCATTCCATTCTGCAGCAGCGAATCCACATCTAACAGCCTGGGCATATGCCAAAGCCTCACGTAGGCAAAGGAGTTTTCGATACCTGCAAGACCTCACGTAGGCTGAAAGCAGGTATCAGGAACAAAAGGATGCTGCCCACCTTGGGCTACTGGCTGGACTGCAGGTGCGGATTGGTTACTTTGTATCCCTTAAGCACTGTGATTGGGCGCTACAATGTATCCACTGAGACCCCCCCACTCTTTTAACATGTAAAGTAGACTGAACTCTCTCTTTTGTGACGTTTAACAATGTGTGTTCAATAAAAGAGCTTCCCTGAGCGCGTGCTCGGGGCTGCTCATCCAAGACTGAACCGGCTTGGTCTCTTTCTTGATGCATTGGACTCAATGAGAAGCCCTCCTAATGCGGAGCAAAGACGCATCTGGTGACCCCGACGTGATCTGCTGAAAAGAAGCAGACCCGCCCGCCTTCAACCTCCCATCTCACCCGGCCGGACGAGCCAGTTGCAACCCAGGGACGCCGTCTAGTGTCACGGATCCCTCCCCAGGAGAAAATCCTCCCTTCAGGTGAGTATGGGCGGGAAATTCTCTAAAGCGCAGATGGCGCATCTGCAGGAATTAAGGGAATTCACGAAGAGCTCAATTTTGATTCTTAGGAGTCAGGGCAGAAAGCTCCCGGCTCCAACTAAAAAGGACCTCATAGCCCTTTTAAAGTACATCCACAAGCAATGTCCGGCTTATCCAGAAAAGGGGTCCTTAAAAGTCTCCACGTGGCAACGTTTGGGTGACTTTTTTCATGATACTCCCAGGGCTCTGCCAAAGATTTTAACCACCTGGCGGGTAATTATGGAATGTTTAAAAGTCCAGAGCTCAGCGCTGACTAACGCTGGCAACCCCCCCCCCCC